TAGATCAGTGTGCGCCCATTCCTGATTGATAAATACCCGATCTGCAGCGACAGAGAATGACAGGTGGTGAGGCACTGATGAACTTCGGTTCGATGAAGTGCTTATGACCCATCTGGTAGGCCTCAGTGGTGGACCGACTGCGCCAGGTGCGTCTGTGCGCATGTTTGTGTTTCTGGTCTCAGCTGCTGGTGGTCAGGGTTATGATTGGCTGAATGAAGGCAGAATAAGCCCGAAACAGTGCTGTATCAATCTACCCGCATTCTCTGTCGTCCCTCCTCGCTGCTATTATGGCTTGGCCGACTTCGGCCTGGTAATTGGTTGCCTGTTCGTGACCTTTGCCACGCATACGGAGCTTGTTTGCTTTGTGAAGCCAATAGATCGGTGTGCGCCCATTCCTGATTGATATATATATATATATATATATTAGAAACAGCATTAATAAATGTAAATATACAATATGTTATGGGCGTGCTTTTCGCGATCATGAAGATTCGAGTAATTAGAAAACTTTCTACAACCGGAAGACGCTTTTTCTTTATTTATAAATTTTATAAAATACTTAATTCGCTAGGAAATAAGCAAAAAACATATTTTGGAAATATTTTCTTGAAAATTTATTCAAATTTACTTTGGCATCAAACACCAATGAAAAACATTCATACTATATACGTATCGAATTTAAACCGTATAGATCCTCGGACAATAAGTGAGTATTACATATACAAGCGCAGATGCGAGCTCCATCAACTAGTTGATCAGAAGAAGAAGCGATCACTGGAACAAGGTCTTTATTCGTCTCACGTTTCGGATCCTCACTTGAATCCATCAGAGACAGTAGCAGAAAACGGTGACTCGTGCACAGGAAGCTGCAGTATTTATAGGACGCAGCCGCTATGCTACCGCATACCTATAGCAATTAACGTTGTTCCCCTTCATGAAGGATAGTTACCCGCTGATGCGCTAATTGCTTGCCGGCCGGCATTCAAGTTGTTAATTACCTAAATGTCATCACTCGTGTTGGATGCTGGCGTGATGATTGCTCGGCCATCTGGCTCACCGGCTTGCGCGCGCCCCGACAGGTAAATTACCTTAGCCAGCCTATGCCTCAGCACGAAATATGGGGTGGGGATGTCGTTACACTTGTTGTTTGATTGAGGTCCCGTGAACCATGACTCAAGCAACTCGCGGCTCACACGATTATCCCCTCTCGCGAGAATTTCAGCCTCATCGAACTTCAATGTGTGGCCGGGTTTCGTCGAATGGTCCGCTACCTGAGGGTTGGCGTTTTTCCTCCGTACCGCTGCCGCGTGTTCGGCAATTCGCGTTCGGAGCAGTCTTCCAGTTTCTCCGACGAAGTTGCTTTGTCCTCAACTGCACCAGATCCGGTAAACGACTCCAAATGTTTCATGCCGTGGCAGTGGGTCTTTTGGTCTCATCACCTGACGCCCCATGGTGACCTCCGGTCTGTGTGCAACTCCAACACCAAGAGGTGCACGAAGGCGGCTGACGGCCTCGGAGACGGTCTTGATGTACGGGATCGCTCGCCAGAATTTGGAGTCGGTACGCTTTTAAAGCTCGTCTCGTTCACGCATACACCGGTTGAAGAAGTTGCGCGGGTTTGTTTTCTCTAAAAACCCGTCAAAGATATTGGAATTCAGCAACCTTGTCTTCCGGTTCACTGTAATGCGTCTCAACACGCCGATATAGCGTTCTTACGCAACTGCGTTTGTGACTTATTGGGTGGTTACAGTTGAAGTTCAGTATTTGCGTCATGTTCGTCGCTTTTCTGAACACTTTGGTCTTTAGGCCACCACAATCATTGCGGCTGATGAGGACATCATGGAATGCCAGCTGGTTGTTTTTTTTTTCTCCTCCATCGTAAATTGTATATCCGGGAAGACGCTGTTCAGACGTTCTTTGAACGTTAGCACCTGATCGTGTTCGATGACGAGGAAGGTATCGTCCACATACCGAGCCCAGAATTTCGGTCTGTGGTGTTGGAAGACCAGCGACTCCAACCGCTGTAGGACCACTTGGCGATGAATCCCGAGATCGGCGAGCCCATTGGTGTTCCCTTTACTTGCTCGTAGATTGTTCCGTCAAACTTGAAGTACGTCCTGCGACAGAACTTTAGGAGCTGAAGGACTTGGGCATGTCCGAGACGATTCTCCGTTTCATTGAACTTGGTTTGTAGTAGTTGGTCGGTCTCGATTGCCAGATCCTGGGGATAGAAGTAAAGAGGGACGTGACATCAAAACATACCATTACCTCATTTGGCAGGAGATTTACTCCTTTAAGCTTCTCCAGGAATTGTGTTGACGAACAGACGGTGGTGTCCGAATCAGCCGTCAGAAATTTGAGGCGCCGAAACAGCCATTTTGCCAGTCCGTACGTTGGAGTGTCTTTGAGTGATACAGTGGGCCGGAGGGGAACGCCTTTATTGTGCACCTTGGGGAGACCATGGAATCGGACCAAGGCCGTTTCTTGGACTCTCGCCATGCGTCGGTCGGTCGGTGTTATTGCACCCGAGTTCTCCAATTCCAACAATGTCGCATTAATTCTGCGTGTCAGCGTCTTTACGAGGTTGGTTCCACATGGGACATAAAACTGGCGATCCTCCACTAGGTTTCTGGCCTTCTGAATATAGTCTGGTCAGAATATCATCAGAAAGTCGATATAATGACGTAACTAACTTCTGCTGGAGCGATGTTACACGATCAAGAATATTGAATTCCCACTCAAGTTGTCTTTCTGAGTTGAAAATGCTTGTCGGTATTTCTGCTAGAATTTCATTTGTCTGGGCATCCAAATTTGATAATGCGAACGCATATGTGACATATTTTTGCATTTTTTCTTTTTTAAACCACGAAACCTATCTAACATTAACCAGTTTGTGGTTTTGTTCCATGTCGACAGTTTTTTTCAATTTCGTTTAACTTAATTGTTGTCAATGTTCACCGAGATTTAACACCTCCTATGTAGGGCCTGGAGTTCCCTCGCTTTAATAACCACCCAATAGTCATCTCTGTAATAAACCGCCCCCCTAAAATGACCGAGCCACGCACTCAATAATGCCGTATGTAGTCATTATTTACAATGAGTTGTCACAGTCGCTAACCTGGAACTTAAATTTCCCTCTCGAAATGCCGCGATCCCCTCTGGCTACACCCACCAAGAACTACCGTACATGGTACGCCGCATAGTCTGGGTAGGAGACATAAGTGTCCCCCCAAGACCTATAGTTAAAAAGCCAAGCAATTTTACACAGGGAAACAGCAATTACCACCTTGCAAATTATTCAAATCTAACTACAGAGGACAGAGTCTGACTGACCCCCTCAACTATCACTGCGCGTAAGGTAAACTGGCACAGGAGGAGTTGTGTGAAATGCGTTGTCGGAAAGACGAAAGATACATCATTGTGCATGCATCCTCCAAATTTCTAGCTGTAAAGGGGAACACACCTGAGGTCTGAACTGTCACAATGCAAATTTTTAAGAATCAAATACATAAGCGATTTCTAATCTTTCGGCAACAACCAGTTGCTTTGTAAAGCTCAAAGTAAACCACGTTCCGCTGTTGACATTCTCGTCCCGAATTTGCAGGCAGTAGCTAGTATCAAAGCCGTGTTTTTCAACTCTGTAACGGCAGTTTTCGCCGTAGGTACAATTTAATAAATTACGTACACCTGCACGAGACCTTTTTAAGCTCAAGATGACCCAAGCCCGTTTACGTGTTCAAGGTGACGGACGAATCGGGGAGATACCTCGACCGTTAACGCATCTGCTGTAATTCTAAAACATGTGAGTTCGCATCTCAACTCATGTCGAATGTATCGTTTTCTTCAACTTGGTTCTGACAATATAATTATCCAGTCTTCTCAAAAAACTGCGTCAAATTCTGCCCTCCTTAGACTGTAAGGCCCTATGACTGCCCAAATCACCAAACTCTGCACACATTTGATGCAGTGTCTTGATAAAACATAAGGGGCAATTTCCACGTAAATTCAGTAAAGGCAGTAAATTCCGGGAAAGAGCAATAATGTCTGTTTGATGGGCTCGGAGGAAGTTATAGCCTTATAAGGAAGAATGACTGCACACGCAATTGTTAACTGCGGACTTTGATGACAGTAAGACCAGCTCGTCTGGATGTCACTGGATAAGTAATCTAGCAGGCATAAAAGATCGTCAGCGACCACGCACCTCCGTCACCCTCACACTGCTAGGGGATGTCAGGAGTAGAAGAATGTTTGTTTTAGTGAAGGCGGATCGTTAAATCGTCGTGTAGGACATGAATTTTTGTCTTTCAAGGTAAGACAGATGGGACATTTTGTATCATCCATTCATCAAATCATCACCGGGTATCCTTCGCATTTATTCTCGACAAACCGGAAACAAGCGTTGCGTAGTAGAATAAGGATGCGGGAGATTCGCTCACATATTAATTAATTATCGATGAGCTGAGAGAGCTTAGAGGGGGGGGAGTTGGCGAGAGAGGGATGAAAGTATCCCGGGTTCAATCAACAGACGGTTAGAGGAGCGGACACGACCTTTGAGGGACCGACAATACCGCTTTGCAAAGACCGGTCGCCGAGATGGGGTGACTGCCCGTATTACGGGACCGTGAGGGCAAGGTGGACTGGGAACTAATACTTACTCATCTGCAATCTCAGTTAAGAGTTGCAGTTAGGGCATTTTTCGTCAGTGACATCTCCGGGACAGGTTTTTTGTTCGTGTGACATTCACCTTAATCCTCCGGCATATGCTATGGCAGGGTAGCTTTGATCTTCCCTGGCATCGGGTTTATTGTCGGTTATTCCTATGCGACAGTTCAAGCGCCATAGATGACGACATCTACGGCGTGTCCCAGGGAGTGGGTAGCAGCACCGATGACCTGCGCATGAGTTGAATCATTACAAAGCAGACTTGCACACCATCTACCGCACTTTCACCTTCCTTCATCCACTTAACTCAGTTGACAGGAGTGTGGAAACTACACTGCCCGTCCACACTTGATAAACATAATCTCGACATGCGCCAGACTATAATAATCCCAACTCGGGTGGTACACGCGAGTTCTGCAAAGGCCACAGTGAGAAAGAACGATTGCAATCTGACTCAAAATCCTGAGGAAGACGGAGTTATCTCGTCGTATGAAACAGTTTCAAGCTACAATTCTTAGCTGATCAGGTTCAAGTTAGGTCTGTCAGATTTATCATAGTAAGGAGGGTGTTGATGTGCCGCAACGATGGATTCGCCAGTACTGACCTTCTGTCCTTTTCTCTCTCTCACATGCAAAAGTCCGCTTCCGAGTCTGTCAATCATCGCGTGATGGCACTGGACACAGTGGCTGATGCAGTACGAAGACTCGTGTTTAAATCATGTCCCATGCGCCCGTGCGACATCAGTTATGGACTCGCGTGGACTCTGTGCCGTGAAACAATCTGGACCCGTTTCGGTCCAGTGTAGTCCGTTATGGAGACCAAAACCGCCAATTTCATGACAGCCTTCACGCATTCTATCGGCGAAACATCCCGCTTCACTGAACTAACTAACACTTAACACACATGGATCGCGTTTAAGGACGTAATCTGGTCAGACTTTTTTCGAAATGATTTAAATTTCGTGTAAAAACCGCTCCATGTAGATTGGTGATTGCAAAAATGACTTAGCAGTTTGTATGCCGATTTTTCCTTATGAGATATTTAGAATAAGACCTCTGTCTCGCCGACCGGGGCTGCATTTCTAGATGCTTCAACTGGAGACACTCTACTAAACAACATTTGTGACATCAATCATCGAATATGCATACCTTTATGATATATCTTTAATCGATCAAAAACTGAAGCACACGCGCCAATTACAAATCCTAATTAACAACGAATGGTATTCTGTTAAAGGAAAACATGAAATATATAGTTAAAGTAATGCCGCATCCCTTTGTAATATCTGTATTCGTCAAAAATCTTGAAATTCTGCAAGTTGCAATGCTCATGTCAAATGGGTAAAATTAATTCACAGAAGTACGCAAAAACGCTAATGATATGTTGTACAACCCTATTAGGTTTGATGTGTACAACCAACTACTAATTGAAAAGCCTTGTTTAGCTTATCAACTTATAGCTACAGGAGGGCGCCCTTTGACTTTTGCCTAGCACATTTATATAACCACGTGAGCTGAGTCCTTCCAGTATGATTTTTTAATGTTATATTATCTGGCATGAGGCAGACTTTGGCTTTCACCCCCCCCCCTTCGTAATCCATTTCTTTCAATAGTGCGGCTCTGTCTTTTTTATGTCATTTCGATGCTCACCACACAACGCGTGTCGCAAAGATCGTCGCCTGCGTTTTGGATTACTTTGTATCTGTTAGAGCACAACCAAACAGCTTCCACAACAAGAACTTATTGATTTCTTCGAAAATACTAACTTACTCCTCTTGGGCCACGTAGTTTCTCATAATACAACGCCTGATGTAGGGGTTGTTGACTGCGTTTTGGTTTACTTTGGTTCGGTTAAGACACAAACACTCAAGTTCCATGATACAGTAAGTGGGCTAACTCATGAAATGTCAACAGAAATTCCGAAATGCATTTTCGTTTCGAAAAGTTTGATTAAGTATGGTTGTAAAAGTAATCAGCCTGCGGCATAATTCTCTAATAAATCAGTTACCTCCGGATGCCTGCTTCAGAATGAACTTTCTACCGACTGCTTGTAAGAACAATACTCTGTAAGAAACGACTACTTAACGTGCATGCATTCTTCTCTCTGATTTTCGATGCCCCTAAAAGTCCAATAATTTTCAATGGAAAACAAAACAAATCTATCCATTCGTCAGCGTATACGGTAGTACATTACATGGTTTTTTTGATTTTATACCCGAGGATAGGCCATAATTCGGTTTTAAAAAAGTTTCTACTTGTGAGACTTTTTAATACCGTGAAATGGTTGTCCATAAAACGTCATGACTTCGCATTTACCAATGTGGCGTGCTAAGTTAACAATATGACTCAAATCCACCGGAAAATTTTATGAACCCACATTGTTTCCTCTAAATACCGTAGATAAATGTGCTGTTTTTTGTACGCGGAAAATTCATGGCTTGTAGTTTGGAAACCCTGAATGGAAGTGCAACGGCAGGTCGGGGTTCAAAACAACTTGGGAACATGAATAGTTTTTGAAGACCAAATTATATTATACTTTCGTGTATAAAATTGAAAGACGACTCAGTTGGCTACCGAACACGATAAAGAATGAATATTGTCATGCGTATTTTCCATGACGTATAATTAGAATTTTAGGGGCATCGAAAATCAAAGAGAAAAAGGCATGCTATATAAGTAGTCATTTTATACAGAATACCGTTCTTGCATGCGGCCGAAAGAACGTTCGCTCGAAAGCAGACATCCTGAAGTAACTGAATTATTATATAATTATACTACAGGAGGATTACTTTTCCAACCCTACTTAATTAATCTTTTCGAAACGGTAACGCACTTCGG